TCTTAAACCACAACATCCATATATAGACCCAATTCTAAATGCTTATTTTTTCAAATTACATTGTTACATGTTTATATCAAACTTATAGTTTACTCAACTTAATTAAACAAATATATAAAGTTAGTGTAAAGTACCTAGTCTTTTCAAATTAATTTTATTCATATGGATTATGTATGTCAATTTTTATCTTAATTAATACTTATAACTTTTTGATAAAAAAAAAACTCTATTTATTGATATATATTTAACGATATTAAATTTTATACAATTAATGAAGTTGTTAAGCCTACTAGAATAATAAGAAAATTGACGTACATGGTTTATATAAATATAATTTTCAATTCAACAATTAATTTTTCAAAATATTAATCAGAATATAAATTTTTAGACAAATCCTCTTAAAAGAATTTAGAAAGTTAACCTATAAAAATACTTTTCTAACATCTTAATTAAAGTAAATTTTCCTATTGTATTAATGATTTCTTTATACTCAAAAAGAGCGATAGATTGACACTCATTTAGTACCAAACTTTGTGTCATTGAAACTTTGAGGATACATATTCAAATATTAAAATAAGAATATTACAACTAATTATCTAACTAATTCAAAATAGTAATTTTCTTCTTGTGAAAATAAGAGTTTCCAAATTTGAGTATCATAGCATACAGACAAAGTGATTAAAAGAATAAGAAAAAATTATCTCTCATTATATAATTCAAAAAAATTTAAAAAAAAAAAGAATATTACAGACATTGTCTTTGACTTTCTTCCTTAAAACACTTTCTTAATTATTGACTCAAGTGAGGTTAACTTTTTGTGATTGATTATAATTCTAAATTTTTAACATATTAAATCATATAAAATTATGTATAACGTAACTCAAATCATATAAAAAAATGTTCAAGTATGCAATAACTTAAAGGGCATAACTGATAAAATAAAAAATCTTGGGTACTAGAAGTGCCGTTTTCCATTTAAAAAAAATTAAAGTCATAATAATCATTATCACTATAAAATAAAATAAGTAATAGAGCAATTTCTTTACATGTAAGAAATCGAAATAAGAGTATCAAAAAGTCGGGAAACAAAGTTACAAAATCCTTCTTTTGATAGAATTTGTTTTTGGGGGAATTTAAGTCCCGATTTGTAGGGAAAAGTGTGGAGGGTGGGGGTCTAAGGTAATCCATGAAAAACCCTAGGATCGCGATCCAGGAGGAAGCTGTGTAGATGCATGTCGGGGGCATAACAGTGGATCCCAATTGGTTCCTGCAATTGATAATCACTCTCTTCGTCGTAGCATTCGGGGTGCTTTATTTGGTCAAGAACACGGCGTCGAAGTACTTCGAAGTCGACGCCAATTTCGATAGGGATCAAACCATGACTGCGATTCCGATGGATTCCGACCGGCCTTCTTGCGCCGCCTGTGGGAATCACGGCACTAAGGTCTGCTCTCGTTGCAAATCAGTTCGTTATTGGTATGTGCTCTTTCTCTCTTTCTCTTCTTTCGTTTGTTGATTGATTCTTGAGGTGGTTCTGTGTCTCGGTAATTTTTTTTCCTATGATTTTTGGGATTTTTTTCTTCTTAATTTGGTAAAGAAATTGATTTTATTTATGTAATCATGATTGGTTTAATAATTGTGGCGATTAATTGCTTTTTGAAGAATTTGTAAGAGTAATTGGTGTCCACTGGCAACGTTTAATAATTTATTTTGCGAGTTATATAGATTCAAGGTTTCTTATTTCAGTTAGCTGAGACTTTTTTATGGTTTTTTAAAAATATAAGAAATGCTCATGCCATGGATTTGTGCAAGGTTTTTTGGGTATTAACTTTTTTCATGAAAAGGTAATTTTTTTTTTTTCATGTGTCATCTACCTCCAATGATTGGCTCATGATATAATAGGATTAACTCTGATGTTGAGATTGCCAATGGTGAAACTTTTAGTTAACAAGGCTAATAACATTATTTTGATTCTTATTGAAGATACTATTTAGGCACTTTTAATTTGCTTACTGTGGAAGGTAAATTCACGTTTGGCTAGTTGTGTGTTAATACATGAAAATTTATATGGATGGGTATCTTTTTATTTTGGCTGATGATGGGTGATTGATAAGGTGCCAAACAGATATACCTTTGTTGTGGAAAGTTGTCTGTGTTGTATGTTCTTGATTTCACATTAGTGATAAACTAGCTTATTTGATTGAAATTGCTATATACAATGTTTAAAGACTTTACCCCTTTTTTTTTTTTTTTTTCCTCTTTTCCAGCTCTCCAGAATGCCAACGGACCCACTGGAAGTCTGGGCATCGGACAGAATGTAAAGAAAATTCATCGGAGACAGCAAGAACTAAAAAGTTATCTGGAATTGCACTTGTACCTGCTAGTGGAACATCAAAGATTATCAAAAAGCCAAGAAAGGTATTTGATGTAACCAGAATAACTAAAGCCCTTAACATTCAGAAAAGAATTGGTGATTCACACTTATATTTTCAGGTTCTTTTTCCATATGATGAGTTTCTGAAACTTTTCAACTGGGAAAAGCCAGGATTCCCTCCTTGTGGCCTTTTAAATTGTGGAAATAGGTTTGTGTCTACCATTCTTGTTTTTGGTTAGAACCATTAGTTAGCCTCGGCATGTTTCTTTCTCTATTGCTAACTTTTTCTCTGTTCTCTATGATTTTTCCTTTTCCTGCAGTTGCTTTGTCAATGTGGTTCTGCAGTGCCTTGTGTCCACCCGGCCACTTGTTGCCTACTTGTTGGAGAAAGGCCATCAGGGAGAATGTAAGTTCAAGAAATTAGAACTTGTTTTGGCTTAATCTGAAAGGTATTTGAACAAGTTCTAACCTACATGATTGTCATATTTTGTTTGCCAGGTGGACGTGATGATTGGTGCTTCTTATGTGAATTTCAAACCCATGTTGAAAGAGCTAGCCAAAGTCCACAACCTTTTTCGCCAACTAACATTTTCTCATGTTTGAAAAATATTGGTGGTAATCTTGGCTATGGAAGACAGGAGGATGCACATGAATTTATGAGGTTAGTATCCCCTATGGTTAATCCAGTTTGTATTTTTGTACAATACCTACTCAAATAATTGATAGGAAAATGGGGAAGTTTCATTTTGTAAAATTTCAGGGTCTTCCTTTTCTTCTATGTAGGTTTGCCATTGATAGAATGCAATCTGTTTGTCTTGATGAATTTGGTGGAGAAAAGGCTGTGGATCCTAGCTGTCAAGAGACAACACTCATTCAGCATATCTTTGGTGGTCACCTACAATCTCAGGTGATGCATCCCATCGTCAAAGGTTTTTATTTTTTTATTTTTAATTTTTTTAGTATATTATTATTATTATTACTACTACTACTACTACTACTTTTTAAATGTTTGGTTATTCTTTATATCATTAAGACCCAATATTATAGATTATTGATGTCATCAAGACCCAATATTATAGAGTATTCATTTCATTAAGACCTTATCCCTATATTATAGCATCTGTTGGTTATTCTGATGGCTTGTTCTTTGGTTCACATATTTTAGGTGATTTGCACAAAATGCAATAAGATTTCAAATCAATATGAAAACATGATGGATTTAACTGTTGAGATTCATGGAGATGCTACATCATTGGAGGAATGCCTTGATCAGTTCACTGTGAAAGAGTGGCTTCATGGAGAAAATATGTACAAATGTGATGGGTACGTCCCTTGTCCCTATTCAACTGCATGAAGCGTTTGATTTGCAATTGCATAGTTTTACATTCTGCAGATAATTGATTTAACAATTCATTGAATTTTATTTATATAATCATACTCTAGAGTAATATTTTGATATCATACTCCTCTTGGCAGATGCAATGACTATGTCAAGGCATGGAAGCGACTTACCGTTAGGCGTGCTCCTAACATTCTTACCATTGCCTTGAAAAGATTTCAGGTATTAGGTTATAATAAACATTCTGTACAAGTATTTCAATTTTAAGTGCTTGCAATACTTTGGTATTATCTACGTGTTTGTGGGTTTTTTTTTTTTTTTTTTGTTTCTTGTTTGCAAATAACTTGTCACTTAATTAGATTTGTTGACATTGATTTTGTCTGATGATATCTAATACTCTTTTGAAAAATATTTGCAGAGTGGCAGGTTTGGGAAACTAAACAAAAGAGTTAGTTTTCCTGAGACTTTAGATCTTACCCAATACATGAGTGAAGAAGGAGATGGTACCGATGTTTACAGACTTTATGCAGTTGTGGTTCATGTGGATATGCTGAATGCATCATTTTTTGGTCATTACATATGTTACACCAAGGATTTCCAGGGAAGCTGGTACAGAATTGACGACTGTAAGGTAGGGATTCTTTCACCGTCTACTGCTAACCCGATTCCTTCTTGAATTGTTAGTGTCTTCTAACATGTCTGCCAATGTTTTGTTTTCAGGTTGTGAGTGTTGAATTGGAAGAGGTACTTTCTGAGGGGGCATATATGCTATTGTATAGCAGGTACCTTCCCTCTCCTGCCTCCATTATGAAGTGTCAATATTTATACCATCTCTCTTGTAACCTTTAATGACTAATTACTATTGTATGAATCGCAACCAACTCATTTAAGTGGCTTTTGCAGATTTAAACTATTACAAAAAATGTTAGACCATGTTGAAAAGATTATATAGGTTTTGAACCAGCAATGCTGAAAGGAGAATAAACGTTGGAATTAAGTTGCCCATACCATGAAAGTTCTGCACCTTTTTGTTGCCATGTTTCATCAAATATATCAGGTTTAGGAATGTGTGTTCATTACAAACATCATTGATGAATAGTAATTTTTGTGTTCATGCATGCATGTTGGTATTCTTGCATAGTCAGGAGCTATTGGTGTTACTTAATTATACAAAAGCTCGAGGGATTTATTCTGACATCTGCCTTGGGTGCCTTTGCTTTAATTGTCAACTGACTTACACATGCAACAATCATGTTCAACACTTGATTTATGGGTATACTTAGTAGACATCCTTTTGCCTGCCATGCAGGGTTTCTGCCAGACCATCATGCCTTAGACCCACCGAATCTGGTGATGATGAACAGAAAGAAATAAAATCTGAAGTAGAGCCTTCCCCCAAAGAAGTTGAATGTTCCTCTGCTGCAGGGTCGGTCAATCTCAGTAGTGGTACTGCTTCTAAGTTATGCAATGGTACTTCACATTCGGAAGTTCCTAGGTCTGAAATCAAGTCATCAAATGGAAAGTCAAGTTCATCTCTTTACAATGGGGAAACCTTTCGTGACAATGACTCTTATCTCCATGGTTTTGAAGCTATTAGGCAAGATGCCCAGGATATCAATATTATTAATATAAATGGAGCAAGAGAAGGTTCAGACGACATGAGTACAGTTAGGGCCCAGTCATGTTCTTCCAACATCAATGTGGATTTTAGCTGCTCTGATAATGAACTGTCTGTTGCCAAAGCTGGAACAGATGATCCAGAGGATATTGATATGGTTGATGTGGAGCCATGTTTATCTGCCTTGAACAAGATAGACAGCTGTGAGGAAGATTTGCATGTAGCAATCAACAAAGATTCAGAAGAGATGGAAATATGATCAATTCTGAATCAAGTTCGTCAGATGTGAATGCTGACCATAACATTTATTCTTTTTCTGGTGATGCATCTTCAGCCAGACCCCCTAATTTGAAATGCTTAAACGGTTCAGTTCTTGAGAACACAATGGAATCAAGAAGCTGAAGTAGCAGAGTAGCACATGAGAGTTCATTATTATTTGGCTGCATTTCCCACTGATCTTTTTGTCATAAGAGGATCCTGTCATCATAAGACCGATGTTTTGGGATTACTCTGTCTGGGGTTTGATTATTTGCAGAAATCTCAGATTCTATTGTACCATTTTTCGGACATACACTTTAACCATTTTAGATTTGACATAATGCAATGATATGAGTTATTTAGCTACGTAGTAGTCTTCTGCCAAATATGTTCTTGAGTTATGAAAAATGAATAAATTACAAGCAAGACAACATTTTACATCGTCTTTGTTTAAAGAAAACCCAGCTGTTGCAGACAAAAACATCTCTCTTCCAATTAGTCAGATTATGTGTTCCTGGATTGTCCTGAAAAACTGCTTCAACCATTGAACAGACATCAGTTCCACACTCGATGCTCTGCCTAGTCCCTTGGATTTAATCTGTAAACCCTTCAAAACAACAATAATGAACACATTCACGAGGTCTCCATTCTCCCGAGCAAGGAAAGGCGAATTCAGTGTCTGAATTAATGATGCTCTTAATCTGCTGAAATTAGAAGTACCAGAGATTTTTTGTGCATAGAAACTTACTTAAAAACAGGCTTCTCCTCTTTCTCAACCAGCTCGACTTTGACAGAATCCCCTGCCATGATGGCATTCGCAATGCACAACCCTCTCCAATCATGTCCAATACGAACGATACCATTACTACCCTTCTTTGGTATTAACTTCGCTGTCCATGATCTCTTTTGTTCATCAACAAGCTTGATCTCACGAACCCCATCGCTCAGCCCATTGGACAGCGCAAAACTCCTTGGTACACGCTAAGGGAGCAACACTATAAGTGGCTAAAGAAACAAACTTTTATTATATAAATGGCACAGATACTCACCAGTCTGTACTCCTTCCAGTCAAGAGCACTCGGAGTTGCAAAGAAATAAGGGTTTCCAGATTTTTGAGAAGCACTCGGTTCTTAACAATCAAAATTCAAAAGGAACTAGTTGTATGTTAGAAATTAACATTTAAAAAAAAAAAAAAAAGAAACATAATATGAAGCAGTGCTGCAGAGAAGCATTACTGCAGATATCTTTTACATTCTCTTCCTCTCCTTTTATTTTCGTTTCAAAGTGAGGGTATTCTCTCTGGGATTCGGTGCTTGTGTCAAGAACCATAACATCAAACACCATGTCTCCTTCATGCTTGAAAACCACGAAATCCCAAACCTTCAAATCATGATCTTGGACGAAGTTTTCCCACCCATCTTTGAATTTCCGACCCTTCATTTTCACCGGCCAGGTCCTCCCTCCGAAGCTTCTCAGTACAGCTCTCTCACACTTTGATCCTTTTAAGTATCTCTCAAAGAAACTTACAGGAATCGACTGTAAAGCAGGTGTTTTTTGTGTTAGTCGATCTGCCACACTGCACACACACAAACATAAAAAAAGAGAGGGAGAGACAGAGAAAGACTTACAAGCTCAGATTGGAACTGTAAATTCGGAAGGAGAGGTTGGAAAAAATGAGGTTTAGACGGAGTGAATCTTGTACCAGTTTCCATGGGATTTTGTCTCTGAAGAGATCCTATCCGGCTGTCCGGTTGTCCGATAGTCGGCTTCAAAATCAAGCAAGATGAGCAACGTCTGAATGGTGGTGACTGGTGGGCAAAAACGACACATCAGCCCCTGTACTCTTCAATTGATGGTAAATCAGCCCTTAAACTAAAATCAGTGGCTTTTAAACCCTTAAACTCTTCAAACGGTGGCAAATCAGCCCTTCCTTAACGGTAACCTCGTAACCGTGGGCCTCACGTTGCTTACTCAGCGATGACTTAGCAAAAAAGTAAAGTTTCGTGGACCTAGAAAAATGATATAGAGTCTAACATGGG